CAGCGCCAGCTGCGGGTCCTGCCCGGCTCCTCAGAGGGGATTTGGCAGCAGAACATGGCACCGAGCAGCGGGGACAGGTCTCGCGCACGCCTCCCGCCTGTTACCTGGGCGGTTGTCTGTGGGCGGCGACAGGAGGTCTCTCATTTGTGCGTCTTTCAGCCCCTCTGCCCACTGCACGTCCAGGGTTCGCAGCAGAGGACAACTGGAACTGCAAAGCGCCGACACCGCTATCCACGAGCACCCTGACAGCAGCAGGTCCCGCAGACCTGCGGGTACAGAGGAAGTTGGAGCAGGTGAGGTACCCAGAGACACCCGCGGTGCTCCTGGCCAGCACAGCCAGGGTGGGCACTGCCCAGCGCCGTGCTGACCCACAGCCCCAGGGCACACAGGGACCCGTCACCTCCTGCCCAGCGCTCAGCTCCCGCCACAGGAACCTCATCACTGCTGGTGACAGCAGACCCCCGACCCCTGCAGCCCCCAAGAGCAATGCCAGCTGCCCAAGACCCCCCTCAGTCTAATAACTAACGACATAACCAATCTGGGGCCCATTTTAATCCACTGATGCTTCATTGCTACCTATCTGCTCCTCCCTTAGGACACCTGGCTCCCTGGAGTCTTTCCTCAGAGACTGCACTTTAGATACAGACTGGTTTGTACATTCGGTGAAGTGGTCAAAAAGCATCACTTACCTGGCAGTCTGTTGATAAGCCAGCTCAGCTGCTTTTTGGATATATTTGTCCAGCTAAGATCAAGGGTTACAGGCTGTCTCCTGATAATGCCACTGAGCATAAGTGGAGTGATGGATTTACAATGGTTTAAATCTATTTTGGTCCATAATCTTTTGTCACAGCACCTACCCAAAAAGAAAAAAAACCAAGAGTACTTAATTTGGCACTTGTTTGGATTTCTGCAAGACATTAAAAGGTGTCGTTAAACAGTAGGGAAAACTACGGCATTTAACTGAAAACAGCAGAAAAAGGGGCTGAGCGATGCCAGGATAAGCACAACACCGCACCGTGGTACGCAGGTTTGAAGTTTCTCCATCAGATATACCATGCAATAAAGCACATAAGTATTTCCACAGAATTGCAAATGTTAACAACTCTGGATCCCATTTTAAGTCATCACAGCACTCACTAAAACCCATTTTCTAGCCTGAAGACAAGACACCTTCTTGCTTATCTTTTGCAGATAAAGACTGGATTTCAGTTTTACTGTCCTGATTTCCCCTGTGCTTTCCTTACCTAAACCAGACCCCTGCTCCTGTCCTGTGTGTTTGTTTCTCCTGTCTATGGGGCTCCTGTGTTTTTATGCTCTCTTTGTGGCTCCCTAAGGGCGCAAGCGAGAAGTCCTAACCAGTGTGCAAGACTCTGCGTTTTCCCATGGTTTTCCATCAGAAAGCACTGCACTGAAGGGAAAAGGCATCCAGCAGCTGTCGGGGACAGGAGGCAGCCCCAGAGGAGGGGCCCACACAGCTCTCCCTGCACCCAATTACCAACCCCTCACTTTTCTGTCCTCTGCCCGGCACTACCAGGCTGTGCAAGGAAGAGCCTCTGCCAGACCTGCCCGTCTGTCACATTGCAGCCCACCGCGAGGGGCCAGCGGCACGGAGCTGCCCACGGACGCTTCCCACACAGTCACCGTTCACAGGGCAGGCCCTGGCTGGACACGCTGTGAGTACACACGGTAACGAAGGGCTCCTCCATCAGCCCTGGGGTGCAGCACGGGGTGAGCAGGATTGCTCTCCATGTACCCTCTGCAGGGATGCAATCGGCTGGGACCTTGTGAGGAGAACAGTGTGGGCACGGGGAGGACCCTGCTGTGCTTCAGTGCGTGCTGGACAGCTGAGCTGAACAAACTGCAGCTGCAGTGTCCTGAGGCACAGCCACACCAGGACCGAGCGTGACCTGGATGGGCCGTGCCAGCAGTGGGAACATTGTAGGAACACTGCGGTGTCTCGCTACAGAACAGGCTGCTCCGGGGCATCACGGCCCTGCCAGGCTGCCACCGATGTGCACACACCCCCCCACACCCACCCCTTCCCATCAGAAATGCTGTTTCTGTGCTATGTCTCTGGACACTGCTGGTCACCCCTTCTCCTTGGGCTCAACACAGCCTCAGTGATGACCCACACACCTCTCTGAGGAGACACCAGTGCCTCCAGCACCCCCCTTCCCCTTTGCATCCATCCCGCAGCCCAACAGACCTGGCTCAGGCTCCCACCCTCCTTACCATCTGTTCCAGGTCTTGCAAACTCTCATACAGATGCACAAGTCCCTGTGACTGAGGTAGCTAAAGACAGCCATCCAGACCTCCCTCTGCATCACGTGGGCCGCCCCGTCATCCAGGGGGAGCGAGTCCGGAGGGGGGCTGATGGGGGGCGGCCGGATGACATGCCGCTCCATCTGGATGCATTTGGGAGGAGAGAGCGAAGGCGGGGGCCGGGCGATGCCCCGGGGTGTGCTGCGCAGGCTAGGGACCAGCTGGGGCCGCAGCTTCCGGGGCGGGCCGC